GACTCACTGGAGATCAAGCAGGATGGCATGACACGCTAGGTGTGGTAGACAGGAACGTTAGTAGGCAGGTCATGACATTAACAGCAGCAGCAAAATCAGAAAGTCAGCTCACACCAAACGTGATGTAGGATGCCCTGAGTATGAAGTTTTAGAGAAGCTTGTTGAACTAGTAACCTGGACTGAGTGATTGTTATTAGACCAGGATGCATCTATTGTTGTAAGAGCTAGAACGCCTCTCTGCAGGCTATTACTCAGAGCTTCTGATGAAGGTATTTTTTTTACTTAAATTACTGGTTTGAAGTTTCCCTCCTTATTTAGCTGCATGCAGCTGGGCCCCAGTAAAGTGTGTGTCTTGCCAAGACATGGAAGACAAGTGCTAAGCCTGGAGCTCTGCTAGCTGTAAGACCAGGATGATTCCCACAGCTTTGTGGGCATCACCATGTGGCAGCCCTGTACCTCCTGAGCCTCATGTTTTGCTCATGGGTGAGAAAAAAGCTATCTGTTTTAATCAGGTTAGGTCAACAAGAAAGCAGAAGCTACAGGTTGGAAGCTGTGTTTGGGTTCCCTTTGCTGCCCAAAAGTTAAGTGTAAACAAGAGAAAGGTACTATCACTGCTGGCAGGCCAGGAGCAAGCAGGCAATTTAGGCTCAGCTGCAGGTATGTCCACATGGCCTAATGAGTGAGCCCAGTGCTCCACACAGCCATGCTGAGAAGCAGGACACATCTGGCCAGATGAAATTACACCGCAAGCCAGCCCTCTTACCTTACCTACCTGGGTACCAGAGGTAGCCTAGCCAGAGCTGGCTCCGGTGTTTTGAACAGCACCACATTGTACTGCATGGACATGTCCTGTCTTGCCATTGCAAGGCTTGGTTCTTCTGGGTTAGGGCTGAAGTTTGCACTGATAATACCTGTGCTACATCCCTTCTTTAAACAAAACATGTAACGTGTCTCTCAACAAAGTCCTGTAACCTCATTTAATTCAGCCTCTACAAACACCAGTTTGCAGCACTTAAGGCTAACCAAGTATCTTCCTATCTTTGTTGAAAGTCTGGAGTTATTATTTTACTGGAAATCCTTGGCTTCCTGGTGTTATGTTTTATTACTGTTGCACAGAGCATACCACATACCTTGGGGAACAGTAAATGCCACTGCAAGAAGCACATCAGCACACAGTTCTGTGAGTCTCACCAGAGACACCATTACTGAGCCAGACGTCTAGCCAGGACCCCCTTTGGTGGGACACTCACCAGCAGACTGTGAGGGTGCCCAAGGCCGCAGACCATACTGCCAACCTGAAGGAATCAGACACCTTGAGTGACAGCTGAAATTATTTGTACGGTTCAGTTTTTAAAACCTTGATCCTTCTACAGACTGCTGGAGGACCTGCAATCCCCAAAGCACTTTCTGTAACTCAGCCCCACAGTTTTACTCAGATGCCATACATACTCTTCATTTTAAAACAGACGGTTTTGACATATTAGGACCATTTAAAAAACAGCCTCAGTCTACACAGCTGCCGCCCCTTGCCTTTCCCCTACCTTGTCTGCTTGATCTGCTCTGGGGGCTACAATGATGTCCTCCTCATAAATAAAGCCAGCTCAAGCAGCTCCTGCGGTGTCCTCTGGTCCTCTTTGCCTTTACCCTCATCCCACCTCCCATGTTTCCATACTGTTCCCAACAGTCCTCAGTAATCACACAGTTAAATTAGACCCTGTTCCCAGCCCCCATAGAACAGACTCTCAGGTAAACACTTGATCCCAAAATCACAGTCACCTTCTTTCCCTTTTGGCCAGAGCTTCCCACACAGCTTTGCAAGTCCTCATACCAATAGCTAGTTTCTTTGCTCTTTGGAAGTTTTCCATCCCCCTGATTTCTAGCCCTCTGAAAAGGCCTTTGGATCAAACCAACTCTTCCAGGTTTCAGCTAGCATGTTGCAGTTACTGACTCCATGCCTCTCATCTGCCAGGGACAGGCTTTAGCCTGTGTCGGAAAACTGAGCATCCCTCCTTCATGTCAGAGCATTTTTCAGTACAGCACTTTCCATAACAACCCCACAGCATCAGGCAGAGGTAATAAAGTGTACTGCAGTGGACCTCCTATAGCATCCCACAGGAGCAGGATGATTTCCAGCAGAAAGAGGAGAAAAGCAGCTACCTCCGAAGAATGTGATATACTAACCTTCCCATGTCACACCTTATACTTACCTTTTCATACCTCTACATCCCTAAAACTGGCTGGGTTCAAGCTATGCTAAATACTATCTCAAAAACTCTTCTGATAGTATTTCTGCTATGATAAAGCAGTTTATTAAAACCACAAGAAAATGCAGTTCAATATATGTTTCAGATTCTACTTGGCAGATTCAAAAAGGTTGCTCAAATACACCAGTTGTTGAATGGGAACTGGAAGCTTACAGCCAAGATTTAGCCTCACCAGTACTCCTGGGCAGGAGTCAGAGGCACAAGACGGGCAGGAATTTTGTGGGAGGGCTCACAAGTTGAGGTAAGGTCACAAACCCCACAAAACTTGTATTCAAAACTTTGAAACAGGAGAGGGAGACAGCTGAGGGCTTTAGGATAGCATCACTGCCTGTAATCACTTGCAGAATTTTGCAGGGCTCGAGGAGTGAAAGGGGGAAAAAGAACCTCTGGGGACAGAGCCACTTTCATCACGGGCAATGGGAACTGCTAATGAAGGACAACAGGAACTAAGAGGAATGAGTAAGAGTTCCAATATTTTATTGGCAAGTTCGACATCTGGTTAAACAACACGTACGTTTGAAGCTTGACATCGAGTAGCTCTCACATACAAACCATCGCGGTACCTCAGCAAATTCACAGGGCTGAAGGAAAAGCCATATCTGCATGCTCCCAGGAGCAGGGCAGACAGCAGTAGGCATGCAGGGTAGCTGAGAGGGATGGGAGGGGGATGGAGGAGAGCGAGGGATAACCATCTGCCTTCCCTAGATCAAATTAACCAGCTAATTTCCCCAGGCACTCTCTATAGAAACAAGCTGCTCCAGAGGGTGATTCACTGCTCGATGTTATACTGCTGCTTTACAGTCTTCCCGTGAATTTACTTCCCATTTCTCAGAGGAATGCTCTCACCAGCAACCGCAGAGCATGGCCAGGGAGACGTGGTGGCTAATTTTGAGGCCTATAGATGGGGAGCATGAATCTCCCTTCCCTTTGCCCTGCCTCCCCAGCTACCCATTGTGAATTAGCATGTAAACAAGTGGTATTCACCCCATATTCACAGCTGAGGAATTTGTCAAGAAACAGGACCTCTCACGTGCTGCCATACATAGCAGAAAAATATACACTGCAGATTCTAATTTCATCCCGATCTCAGATGGACTTTTTGCAATTTGCCACAAACCCTCTTTTTCCCATCATACAGCATCAGGTCTGCCCAGGCAGTGTCTATCACACTGGTAAAGAAGTCCCTGTGAATGCTCAGTAAAGTGTCCATTTGGGTGGACAAGTGCATGATCTGCCTGTCCAAATCTGCTGCCAACCCACAGGGATTTCAACCCATTGAAGTCAATAGGAGGGCTTTCACTGATTTTAACGGATAGATTTAAATAAATTTCACATGCAGAATTAATTCACAGATCAAGCTCCACCTGCTCCTAAAATCTAACTGATTTGGGAAAAAACACACAGTCTTTCCTTCCCTGTTTCCAGCTAACTGAACTGTATCCAACTTCTGAATGAACATGATTTACCCAAAGGAAGACTTTTTCCACCAATATTGACTGGCTGTAATTACATGTACATTCACAACATGTATGCTCCCTTATTAAAAAATTGCCCAAGTGGTAATGAGGAAAAGAAATGATGGTTCTGTGTTTGAAAGAATAACTGTGCAGACTGAAGTTTGCTGCTATATTAATATAGCACCGACAGATGCTGTAATTAGAAAGTAAAAGGCAAACAGAGGAACTGTTAATAGTTTTGTGCACTGTTAGGTGTCTCCTAAAACTAAAATGCTTCTTTAGGGAAGTGATAATGTCTTCATATGTGATCCTGGGCCTACTCTAAAATGCTAAAGACCTGTCCTCACAGGTGTCATACACCATAACCACAGGGCTATATTTGCAAATTGCTCCATTTTCTATGGTTCTATTCTAAATTTATCACTATTTCTAATTCATTTCACCATTTCCAGCAGCACATTAGTTATTTTTTTCTTAAAGGTAGGATGTATATTATTTTTAGCAGTGATCCGTCCACATGCTGAATTAGATACAGAACACAAACGAAGGACAGTAATATGCTGCTTCCACTACAAAAAAAAGAAAAATATTTAGATTCAGTAGAAAGCAGGCAGGTGATGCGTTAGTTTAATGTACTGTTCTAATTTCTGCTGGAAAAAGATTTCTATGTTGGCACAGCGCACCAGAGGAATTAAGTGAGTGAACTCAACATGGCATCTATCAAAAGACAAGATATTTCTTCTATTCTGGTTTGATAACAATATAGAATCCTTCTGAAGGTAGATGAATTCCAATGTTAAAAAAATCCAACACAAAAAAAAACCCAACAACAACAAAAACAAACAAACGAACAAAAAAACCTAAACCAAAACAAAATAAGCAATAAAAAACTCCAAACAGGCACAACAACTAATTAGAGCAAGCGCACACAACAGTTCTGCGCACCTGGAAGAAAAGGTCAGGACTGCAGTGGCACAAGTTCTGCAGATCGAGTCAAGAGGTGGAAAACTCACCTAGAACTTCATTCTAGCTAATACTTCTTTCTAGATAATACTACATGAATACTACTGAAGGAGTCACATCTCATTTTCAGTCATATCTAGAGGGGAAAAAAACCTCAGGAGCGAAAACCGTATCTATTATTTGCATTATTTGCGGGATCTGTTCTCAGAGATATTTCCAACTGAATCACAGGAAAGCCTGTGGCTGCTAGGTTCCTGTCTGCCTGGAAGGACAGCAATGCATAAGAGCAGGGTAGTGTCGCTTTGTTCTGGAGCAAACCAGAAAGCACAGGGTATAGCCCAGGCTCTCCAGCCCACCCAGAGAGCCTAAGAATCACAACTAGTCAAAAAGAAGGTAATGAAACGGAAATAGCAACTGCTTGATGGCAACAGTGAGCTCCAGCCCTACAGCTTTCCCCTCTACTGTGTTCCTCCTTCCCTAAGAGCAGTCTCAGGAATAGATTTTCTCTGGCTGTTCACAGTGCTGTTGGATCACCTCGGCAAGGTCAAGACACCGCAAAATTCGCCATTTCTCAGCAGCCAGCTCCTCCTTGGATACCTGGCCCAGCAGTTTTTTGGCAAAGAGGTTCTGATCCTGCATGAAAAGTCCCACAGCAGATCTCGGGGCTTGAGGGAGGTTCTCCAGGCAACCACTTGTGAAACAGAAGTTGATTTTCTTTTCACGTCTCATCCCTGGTCCCCTTTCTTCAATCCATGTCAGAGGCCTAGTGTGGAAGAGCAGAGAAAATAAGATTATTTATGAAGAAATGGAATCATGAGCTACAGTTCATGCTTTTTTCTCAGCGTTTACAGAAAATGCCCTAATAAATGTACCATTTTTAAATTTCAGTCATTGCGTATTCATGTAACATGTTCTGACCAACATGCCTTGTGGTTACAGAGTTGAACACCAGGTAATCGTTTTAACTCTGCCACTGCTTCATGCCATGACTTTCAGCACACCATCTAAGCTCTCTCCAACCTTGTTTTCCCCATGTACAAAATGATGCCAGCAGCGTCTAGCCATCTCACAGGGAAGAGGGAAGTTGAATTTGTTTGTGCACTTGGATGAAAAGTGCAGTTAAACATCCAAATCCTTTGTGCACAATGCAATCACAGCTAAACTCAGAAGGCCCTCAAAGTCTAGTCATTCCTCCAGCA